ATACTATTCAGGAACAGACATAGTCATATCAGTAAGTGCAGAGATTAAAAGCTTAAGAAAAAGGAATGTTGTTACAAACTTTTAAAAAGCAGCCAGGAGATGGAATTCTGAAGACCAGGTGCCATAGCTGAGAAGGCTCAAGAGTTAGCATCTCAAAACAAGCAGTGATTACCATCCACAAAACAAGGTTTTGTGAAGCTGCCTAAGGTTTCCTAGTATGAATACCATGGGGTTGGACTTCTCAGCAGCTGTAGTGTCATTCCATCCATTGAGAGTTTGGGTTTTGTAAACGTTTCATTTGACAACAGCTGCCTCTGTGTGCATACTGCCCACTTGCAAATGCTGCTCATTCACATATACAGTTGTCAGTGTATTATGTTCCATAAGGAGCAATTGAGCTTGAAAGCACCAGGGAGTTATATAGAAATGTTTTAACTTGAGCTAGCAGGAAACTATAATAATTATGAAGCTATGTAGTAAAAAAAATCAGTTCCATTTCAGAGAATGGCACAATCTCAACAGACTGCATGGAGAAGACAACATGAAGATGTTATATTACCCAAGACCTTATAACAATGTTTTACAACATGGTTTTGCAGTACAAATGTCAAAGTCTGTAACTATTTAATAAATAATACCACACTCCCAAATTAAAAGTAGTGTTTTAAGCTGTGAGGTTCTCAATAAAATAGGCAAAATAACATATTGTAGGGCAGCGATGAGAAAACTTTTCCAGCCTATGGGCTGCATTTCACTCTGGGCAACTTTCCAGGGGCCACATGCCAGTCACAAGTGGTTCAGAAGTAAATGTTGTTGGAGCAACTCGTGTACATTTTACCTTTGTACAGTAGTCTAGTGTCTACATACCGTCACAGATCTCTCTCTATCCCTCAGCCAGGGAAGGAAGAGGCATTATCAGTATTCAAAGATACATTCCAGGCAGGCAGAAACATGCATGGAAGATACGAAACAGGGACAGTAAGTGACCTGAGGGGAGTCCTGGGGACCAGATAGAGATGCTTGGAGGGCCACATTCAGCTCTGGACTTGAGATTTCCCACCCCTGATGTAATGGAATTGTTAGAACTTTGCGGCAAAGCTTGAAATGTGGAAATAACAAGCTTCAGTTTTAGATTATATTACATGGTTTCCTGCATGCCACTTTCCACTCGTAGAGGTTTTTCTTTGGACAAACACAAAGAGGAGGTGTGGGGAAAGGAGAGGAAACTACATGGAACATTTTCCTGGACAATTTGGGAAGGATTGGGCTTGGTGCTGCTTTTATAAGGCAGAAGCCACCAAGAGTCCTTGCCCCACTAGTTTCCTGTGTTTCTGCAAAGGCACTTTTCAGAATAATATTAGCTGCCTATGGTAATGGAAAACCAATAAATGAGTCAGGCTGGCCTAGGGCATCTAGTAGGTAACTTGAACATCCTTTCTTTCTAATACTTTCGCTCATTAAGGTTTTATTAGAATTCATCTTTTGATTAATTTTTGAAGATACCCTATTATGTTGAAACAGATTTTCCCGTACTGCTATGCCTGTGAACCATTGTAAATGTAGCAAGTCCATGTGACAGCAAAAGAAACAAATCAAATTTCATTGGGTTCCCACTCCGAACCATGAATGCAACTCCCCCCATCTTCACAGTCCCCCAGCTGTGAGCCCTCCAGACATCTTGAACTAGGCACACTTCAGGCTCAGCCACTGCAGCCAATGGTCATGGATGACAGGAGCTGTAGTTCAAAACACCAACATGAGGGAGGCTCCCTTATGTACCAAGTAGTATGGCTGACATTCAGAAAGGTAGGCATAGCCAGGGATTTTCATAGATAGAAGTGGAATTCTTTTCTCTTTTCTTTGAATTGTGTGTGTGTGTGTGTGTGTGTGTGTGTGTGCGCGCACACACACACACACACACACACACACACACTAATATCAGGAACTAATTTTGAAATATATTCTAAATTGAAGATGATTTGGCAGAGGATCCTGCCAAGTTCAGAGTCCCCCTGAACAAGCAAAATTAGTGGCATGGCTTTTGAATTCTGTTTTGTATCACCAAGAACCAGTGAACACTAGTACAGTTTCACCAGAAACTCACGAATTAAGGTTTTATTCCTCTTCTAACAGAACTCCTTAGATGTTGTATGCATCACAAACTGGGGGGGGGCAGTGAAGTTAAAAATGATGGCTCTGGCAAACACAAAGCATTTATTGTTTGTTCTCCTTTATAGAGTATATGCTACTCTAGAAACATCACTCAATAGTTTCTTGTTTCATCTTGAATATACCATTTGTTTTGAACCATACAGAAAACATAGGTGTAACATAACTACATTCTTCTCTTGATCATCATCCTGTTCACTTATTTGGTGCATGCAGAGATCTCAACAATCCCCAAATATTTAAAGTGTCAAGATGAGTGGGTGGCCATAACCCACTAGCAGAGCAACTATAAGGTCCCTATCATTTCCACTTAAATGGATCTTTGTCTCAGAGCATGGAGAGCCACTGCCATTCAGAGTAGACTGCACCGGGCTAGTGAGTCCCAGTGGTCTGACCTGCTACAAGGTAGCTTCATATGATTTTAGTACCATTGCAAGTCCATAGATGAGGCATTCCTTAGCATTCACACAAAGGCAAAACTAACTTATGCTGCACTCTCCCCCAACTCCAGAGAGAGAGAGCAGCAACTTCAGTGACAATCTCTTAAGACCATGCTTTTTAATAGCTGTACCTTTATTCCCTACAGTGACAGTGGTCACTAGCAAGATTCACTAAGGCTCACTTTTTCCCTGACTAGGGTTATGGGGTTGGATTGTTCTCAGCAGCTATAATTTTACCAAATAGCCAAATATAATGTTTCTTGGTATTTGTTGCTATCAGCAATAGAAATACTGAAAGCACTCCATTCACAAAAATGTTCAAAATCAGTTTAGTTAAAAATAGTAAAACACAATTTAAAATGCAATCAATAATTATACATAATTCATGCAATATCAAAGACTATGGGGGGAAATATTATGGGCAGGATTCATCTAACACGCCTCACCAATGGAAGACTTGCACAAGGACTGCTTGTGCAGTGGGGCTTTCCCACTCTGTTTCCTCTGCATCCTCCCTTTGCCCCCAAATTGGCTCAGGGCAGGTTAGAATAGCCTGCAGGGCGAGGAGAGGGGAGCTGCACTGCATGCACAGATGGAACGTTCAGAAGTGCACAAAAGTTGAAGACCACCCAATAAGTTGTATCTAATGCTAGCCCTGATCAGAGTAGACCCATTGAAACTAATGGGCATGGCTAATCTTAGACCCTTTAAACTCAATGGGTCTATTCAGAGTAGGACTTAGTTGGATCTAACTTAATGACTAATGAGAGCCAGTGTGGTGTAGTGGTTAAGAGCGGTAGACTCCTAATCTGGGGAACCGGGTTCGCGTCTCCGCTCCTCCACATGCAGCTGCTGGGTGACCTTGGGCCAGTCACACTTCTTTGAAGTCTCTCAGCCCCACTCACCTCACAGAGTGTTTGTTGTGGGGGAGGAAGGGAAAGGAGAATGTTAGCCGCTTTGAGACTCCTTAAAGGGAGTGAAAGGCGGGATATCAAATCCAAACTCTCTTCTTCTTCTTCTATTTTGACCCGAATTACCCAAACGAGATGCAATCCTAATTTGTATTCCTATATTCAGCTTCCTGGAAGACTCCCTAAGTACAAGTCAACCATGCTTTCTTTCCGCCTGTCCTTATTATGTTTCATTTATCCTTTGCAAGTTCTCACAGGTAGGCATAATTCTCTGTCATCTGTTTAAAGTGATGGTGACTCTTGGATATATCTTGCAAAAATAATAACATGCTTGTCGTTCATTTTTGAGCAAGAACCCACAAATGACTAACACTTTCCCCATTAAATTGTGGCTTCTCCTGTTGAGTCACAAACTTAATAAATGTCTCTTCTAGCCCAGAACAGAAAACATGCAACCTCAGCATGATCACTTGCTGTATTTTACACCAAGCAAGATCTGCAAACAATAAGATTGCTCTGAAATGATGCCAAGAATCAAATTGTGATGACAGGACTGAAAAACATTTTGGTTGTGAAAAGGGAAGCAGAATTCAATGTGGATTTGCTTTTGGGGGGTGGTGATAGGACATTGTTTAGGTGAAGTATGCAATTCCCATCATCACTATTAATTCACTTTTAAAATGAAGGTTTGAAATTGAATTAAGTTGAGAAATGATATTACAAGAGGAATGCGAGAGTAGATAAGCTTGTTTTCCCTTACAGTTCTTTTTTCTCTCAGTTCCCTCTGGGCCAGTCCAGACATAATTCAGACCACCTCTTGACCACGGTGAAGTTATTGGCACCTGGCTGTGAGCTGTTCCATCCCTCTTCCTTCCTTTCTATCAATTCCCCTCAACTTTCTTTGTCAACATTTGCCAAGATGCGTAGTTACATATATACTGGCATAGGCCATAGTTTATGTTAGCAGGGTTTGTTGTGAGCATGGTTAATATTAGCAATGCACAGCTCCAAACTACTGAAAAGCTTAACCTGGTTAGCATTCCTCAACATTAGTCTTGGTACAGATGTGCAAGCTTGATGCCAGTCCTAATTCCATGGTTAAATTCCCTGCATTTTGTATGCACTTTGTACTACAAACTTAGTATCTACAATATTTCTCTTCTTGTTAAATACCAGTCCTTGGATCAAATAACACTCAATAAAATATACTGGTGCAGTGTGGTAGAAAATTTGGCCAACAGTAGCATGCAATCCTGAACATGCTGAGATTTCAATGACTGAATAAGGGAAGAGGGTTCTCTGTGCCAAGTAGGATGAAAACTCTGTGGGCCTTTTCTTTATAATCATTCAGCTCTCATTTGTTTTTTAGTAATATTATTCAAGTGGATAGCCAGGGGTTCCTTGATTTTTTGTTTATTGCAACCAAGTTTCCCTGTATCTTTATAAAGCACCTGATTTAACCTTCCTTCTTTAATTTCAGGGATTTATTTGTTGGATTTAATCTACATTGATTCAGCATATCCTGCTTCAGGCAGCATCATGGAGAACGAACAAAGATCCAATCAAATGAACAATATCCTTCGAATAATTGCTGATTTGCAAGTCTCCTGTAGCTATGGTTGGTAATTTTCCTCTTCACCAATATTTCTTTAATATAGTAAATTAGCACCAGATGTCTGCCTCATACAAAGAGGGGCCTTAAGGGATAATGTAAATCAGGAAGCTTTGTGCTACTGAACCACTTAGCTTCTGCCAAATTAGGAAATTAGATAAAGTGATTGTTGTTCTGGCCCAGCTTAATATATACTTAATATATTGTTGTTCTGGCCCATGAATATATACACCCCATCTTTACCTTTTTATTACAGTCAAACTTTACATAAATTGCATTACATTTTCGTTATGGCCAAATTCCACTTGAGAGGTTCAGTGCTTCCTATGAGCTTGTGGCCTACTCTGATTTCTAGAAAATATTTGCCTTTTTCTGCCAGAATTAGTGGCATGGCTTTTGAATTCTCATAATAAATAATGTAATGTAGACTTGTTCTATAGCTGCAGTTTCCCTTGCAACCTGTCCTCAGACTTTTCTAGCTGTGCCTCTTTGTGTTGTAATCTCCCTCCATTTCCCTTATGAATATTATTTATATTCTATTATTTACAGTATTTATATACCATTTATTTCATCCATTCAGGAGAGATCTGGATAACAAAAAAATGTGATTTTCTACCAATTGTCATTTTCCACTACATATTTCCATAAAAGCTATTGTGTTCATACCTAATGAGAGAAGATTTGATCTCAATACAGTACTTACATTCTCTGCCCAATGAAATCAGATTTTTCTGAGGCTCCAGAGGGCATTAGACTTCTTTGAGGTGGCACCTCTAATGGAACTTGTAGGTAGGGCCAATCTCGAATGCATCTCCAGTGGGAGGAGCCACTCAGATCTCCCAATGTAAGGAGCTGAACTGTTGAATGTTGTTACAGCAACTAGGGGCCCAGCCATAGGTAGTTTAGGCTTTGTCGTGATCCACTAGATCCTGACTGGCTCAGAGCAGGAGTAGTGGTTGCTGTCAGATGAGGAAGAAGAAGAGGAGAGTGTGAAGGATGCAACAGCAGGGAGCAGCCAAGAGGGAGGGTGGGGTCTCTTCCCCTTTGTGTTTAAAAGCCAGGAAATGCAAGGCAGTTCCCAACAATGGGTCAACCAGCCAGGAGGGGAGACTGAACAACTACAGGCTTGTCCAACTTCCAAGAGACTGCAGTCTATTCCCACAATTAAAAAAAACTGGCGGTGATCTACCCACTGGATTGACCAAAGTTGTTCAGTTGCTGTTTTTTTGAAGGGGGATGGGAGGGGTCCCACGATCTACTGTGATCTACCACAGGCATCCCGCGATCTACCAGTAGATCACAATCTACCTGTTGGCCGTCCCTGAACTAGATGAACTGCCCTGAGACCTTCGGGTATAGAGCGGTATATAAATTCAATAAATAATAATAGAGGGGCTGACCTCTGTCCTGTTGCCAAGAACTTGGTGCCACCTCTGCGATTGGTAACAGACCCATTCCCCTTGGAGGAATGCACGCCTCCAAGAACACCATTCTCATAGGGAGAAAGAGTCTCATGAGCAAGCATCCATATCTCGCCTTTAAAAGCTGGCAGGAGGGATATGACAGTTTGTCGATATATCTTCACAGCTTCCATCAAGTTTTGGGTCCATGATGCTGTTCTCGAACTCTTGATCCATCCCTTTTGTGACAGAGATGGAGAAAGTTTCAGTCTCTCCCACATTGCAGATGATTGCCATGCTACTTTTTGATTCTGACAGGCTTCCCTCTCCACAGGACAGGCAGGGAACATAAGGAGTCCAGTGTGGAGAATCAGACTGCAGTGAACTTGGCAGGGAAGTGTTTGGCACCAAGTATAGAGTATATCTCTAGTCAGAAGAGGGTTGAGTTTTGTGCCACCTTGCACTCATCTTTCATTCTAAAGATGTCTAATGCTCTCTGGCAATTTCGAAGATGAGAAATTCATGGTGAGGAAATTTCCGTTTCACTAGCCTATCTATCTGTCCTTGGTGGGAAAGCTTGGTGTTATATTTCAGCATAGACAGTTCAAGGAAATAAAAGTTTGAAGCATGTGGTTGAAACTGCTTTTGTTCTTGACAGTTATGGGATTTATATGTGCTTTTTTTAAAAAATGCAGATCACCTTATAACGTTACCCCATGTGCAAAAATACTTAAAGTCTGTCCGGTACATTGAAGAGCTTCAAAAGTTTGTGGAAGACGACAACTACAAGTACGTAGCATCCTTTCCTTTGGCCCAGTTGAGTTCATGGAAAAGATGGCCTAGCCTCAGACTTGAATAAAAGGGTTTTTAAAAAGGTGCTCCTGGCAGGGATATACTTAGATTTTTGTTGTTGTTGTTTTAAAAAATGATATTTAAACAGTAATGATATTGTCAGGGGTTTGAGTGAAACCCCAGATGGAACTTGTCTATAAGATCTAACCTCATTTCCAAAATGAGACCGTTTTGTGAAAACTTAAAATAAAAACCAGATAGGCCTACTTGTTGTTTTATTGCATTACAGCCCCATGCACTTAAATTGAAGAATTCATGAATGAGGCCCACAGACTAAATTCAGAAGACCACTTCTGAATTCTGTGCAATTATATCTTATTAGAAATTTAAGTAAGGTAGATGTTTCATCATATGGTAGATGTGCTCCTTCAGGAAAAGGCGGGATAAAATTGTAATCATCATCTTCTAATATTCATAGTGCAAAGCAGAATAAAAATATAAGAATTACCTTGTGACTGTTGCCTAATAGTTGGAGATGTGTGACAACAAACTTAACAAAGGTAGCAGTACCTCCATAATCCAGAAGGAAGGCACGACACTGTCTGCAGTCACATGTTGGGATAAGCCAAGTTTTCTGACATATCATGGTTTATGTTGAACAAGTAGCATAGTAGGTCATGCTGCCTAATCAGATGTGCTTTGCTCCTCTCCTAGAGAAAGTAAGAGAAACAAATCAGGAAACAACAAATAAATGTAACTTCCTATGATGTCTAAATACACGATCCCAGGATTACTAGCCAGCCTAAACTATGGTTTACTGTTAGTTTATGAACCTGACTTGTTAGGAAGCAACAAACTAGGATCCCAGAGTCGGGTATCGCAGGAAGCCAAGCTTAATTGCAGTTCCCTTGTTTGTGGAAGTGATTAGGACATGTGCCCCAGCAAATATTAGACATAATCTCACAAATTGTAGGGCACACCTTAGGGTTTCATCCTTTATTAGTGCTTCTTCATGTAGTTCAGGATAACATCACCAATAGCCCCAAAGTCTGAACATTAATTTCTTAATTTCTACTAAAAAAATGTTTGGGTTGAACACTGGAAACATATTCAGATCCCATGATATTGTGTGAATGGAAAAATTAATGGATTCAATCAAGAAAGAGCAGTATACTGCAGTTAAGCTGGCACAGCAGACAAATCTCTTGGTTGACACCTTTCCTAAATTTTGTTATTGTAATTTTTCAGTGTTGGGAGGGTGGCTCTGTAAATCCTCCTTATCACAAGTGCTGCTGCTGCTTATAGTAGGTTTTTACTTTCTGATGTGACTCATAAACTATTCTGACATACATACCAATAAGCCAGATGAGCGCCCATTTCATCCCACAATCTCACCTCCTACCATATGCATCAGGCAGGCTGTTTGCTTGTTTTTAAGCAGTACACAAGCTTGTTTTAAAAGCGGTGCACATTTAATTTTTAAAACTGAAAAATTATCTATGGATCACAGGAGAGTGGTATGTCGGTGGCATCACAGGTACTAACCAATGTGTACATTCTAAAGCCAGCATTTACCCATCCAATCATGAGCCACTCTGAAAACTCGTAGAACTGGTGTTTCCAGAGCTCAGTCTTAGAGATAAAAATGCATTTGCCACCCCTGTGTCTTCCACCTCTCTTCTTCTGGAATCCACACCAGGACTGCACAAAATACCATGGAGTAGATTTCTGCTGGGGGAAACATGCTGCAGAATCTCTCCCTATTCCATCATGTTGGACAGCAGCTAGAAAAACCAAATCAGTGCTGGCCTTTTTGCTGCTGAAAACCTTGTTTATCTTATCAACAGGTTTGTTTTTTGGATCAGATTGAACACAGGCATAGGAGTAATGATGTTTTTGTATCAGAATTCTGTTTAATGTATCATGCTGTCTTCCAGATGAAAAAGCTTTGTCTGCAAAATGTTTTCAATACAGCTTATCACTTCTATTTTTTAAAAAATATGGGGTGAAATTTTGTACAGCTTACTTGTGGCAGGATGTACGTGTATGAATGTGTGTATAAGCTCTTCTTGCCTTCTTGCCTCTAGATTCCTAGGGAAAGGAGTTTGTGGTTTTACACTCTAAAAATATAGTCTGCAAACATTTACATGTTGAAATCAGTTTGAATTTGACAGGTATATATGACTAAATGGCACAAAGTGTTAAGAATGAGAAGACTCTGGAATCCCTAGTGGGTTGATAAACTCCCTACAATACATTAATAACAGCCATTAGCAAATATAGAATTAATCTGCAAGCAAGAATAACGTGCTACAACAATGGAAATTGTACACACGCTGAGCTCACAGACACACACACTCTTACGTATTTACTATCATGGTATTAAAGAGATACATTTTGTTCTCCTCCTTACCTCCTCTTTAATATTTTCTTAGTTCAACTATTCTGTCTTATGCATTGTATCCAACACGTAGGCTGTAGGCTGCATTACCATTTACTCTGGCTTTAATGCACCCCCTCCGCTGGTATTTGAATCTATGTAAACATGACATTAACCAGAATCTATATCTAGCTTGTCGTTTCTTGAGAAATACTGCTGTTTGATGTGTTTCCTCTCAAACCAGTTTCCATCTGATTTGTTAACATAAGCCACACTTACTTCACAACTAAGCTGAGTTGTGTACATATGAGACTGCCATTACACATGTTTAGATGATAGTGCATGGACAGATGATGGCTTCACAAATAGGAGTTGGGAAGGTTGCAGGAATGGGGAAACAAAGCAAGTAATGCACAACAGATAAAGATATTCCTGCTCCATCTCTGGTTTGTGCAACAATGTGCCAATGCAACTTAAAATGCATTGGGGAAAACAGCCTCACGCCATTTTAAGCTGCTAATGTGTACCTAGGCACAGTTTCCCAAAGATTTGTTTTGTTTGCATTTCTTGGTTTTATAAATACTTCAAATGCATAAATGATAAATAAAAGGTTTATATCTTAACATTATAAATAAAACAAGCTTTAAAAAAAGCAGCCTCCAAAAGTATGAGTACTTGAACACACGCTTCTGGTAATACCTTCCATTCAATCTCCATTCAAATAAAAGGGAGCTCTGTTTGCAAGAATATGTGCTCTTTCCAGCTCACAGACATATTACTGGGGTCCACATGAGGTGAGATTTTTTTGTTACCTTTCTCTTTTCCTGTGGTGTTTGTTTGAAGGCATAGGGAGCATTCCCTGTAACACTAGTGAAAAGTGAGTAATTGCAATTGGTGTGTGTGTGTGTGTGTGCCTGTGTTGTGGTTCATAGATGGGATGCCAGAAATTTAACCACATTGCCTAATTTAGTTCTTGGACAGCGATTCACATTCATGCGATGATGTTAAGATTATATATACAGTAGGTTTCCATTAGCTTGAATATTATGTGTGGGACAGAACAAAACAAAGGGTTCCTCTAAATATTTAGGGGCATGACATAATAATTGGAAGTGGGACAAAGCATGAGTAATTTAAAAGTATTTTTTTTCTTAAAACAGCTTTTAATCTCCACAGAGGCCTTTCTAGCAACAGTGAGCAGTATTTACATACATTTTGGTACAGGCCAACCTTTGCTCTTCCATTTGATCTGAATGTCCATTTTCTAAGTAGCTATGCTGTTTTTAGCTCCAAATGTATTACACCTTAGAAAGACTGAGTAGCAGGAATCAAAATAAAGAGGGGGGGGCGGAATCAGAGTTTGACAAAGTTCTCAGAATGAGGCTGAACCATCTAGACATTTCTTTGGAAGAATACAGACCCTACATGACCATGTTTGTTGGCTCAGCAATGCAGGTTTTTCTCTGCAGGTGGTCTTGGAATGGCATCCAGACTGTGTCCTGCGCTGGGTTTCTTTTCTGTCTCTGTACTGATTCTGAAGGTATGAATTTCTTTAAATATTCATCAGAATCTCTTCCTCTTGGATAACTCAATCCACATACTATTTGAATTTCTCCTCATTTCTGGTGCTGTGCCAAAAGGATGCATAAGCCCTGTAGAGATAGCAAGCACGCTCAGGCCTTATAAGGGGAAAAAGGCCTCTCGACATTCTGTCTTTTCATGCCTTTTTTATTGAAACAGGAGCATTCGTTAGACTCAGGAGGGGCTATTTCTTATCCTTGGCAGAATGTAAGATTCATCCTTGTATAATATTACTCCGTTACAGGAAATATACTGGAAACTTCCTCCAAGCCTGTCTCTTCTGGCTGAAATCTCTGCAGAGAAAAAGAAAGAAATGCTTTCTTTGTTCCGTTTAGTGGGCCTTTCTGTTCCACGCATCTCTTTTGTAGAAGAAAATTGTATTGACCAGCCAAGTTGCATAGATATATTAATACTTTTTTAAAAAAAATCTGCAGTCTAGCATTTCCACCTATATGTGGAGGGTTCTGGAGCATAGACAAAGCCAAGGTGCTCATGGGCTCCTTTCTTCCAACTGCCTGGGGGGTCTATTTCCACAGCTACTTTGTAGTTCTATAATGTGGGATGAAGGCAACCCTTTGCAGGGCTGAACATTTGTGCAAATGGGGCTTTGGTTTCCCCTTGCGTTATACATTGCACAGGCCTATTTTAGGCATATTTCTGAGATGATTTTGAAGGAAAGGTCTGTGGTTTATCATTATTTTTGGGGTTTGTTCTCTGTCTAGTCTCCCCTGCTATACCAAGCACCCCACTCAGATGCTAAATGTAGCTCAAACACCCTGCCCGGAAAGCTTCAGTTTCTCTATTTCCACCTTGACTATCCACTGAACAGCTGCAGAACCAATTACCAGCTAGTGCCTGTGTAAGCAATACAGCTCTTGAAATTGTGTTGACCTTGGAACATTCATTTCTTTCCATTTCTTCAGTCCTCAGCCTCCCAATTGGATTCCTCTTTTCTTTAGGTTTCAAATGCAACCAAGCCTCTCTGCCTCTAATTGACAACTTCAAGTTGGCAAGACCCAGGGAACCATCTCCTTCA